GCCGAATTACACTTATGCTAGAAATTTTATCTAACAAAACTGCTTAATCATGACAAATATTCACTGCAAAATTGGGAAAAAGTGCACAATACCATACTCCTTACGCGTTTTTCAAAATAACACATACACATAAACCATGTACACGCCGACTTATTTTTACTTAAAAAAACAGAATTGCACAAAAATGGCATTGCGCACACTCTTCACTATATCCATGTACACTGCTTTTTTCTCATAAATTAGAAAAATTTCACGAAAATACATGACAATTTTCTCAATCTTTAAACCCGGTAAAAAGAACATATATGAAATTACCTGATCGCGAAAAAGTATTTACCCTTTCCAAATATGAACATTTCCACATATAAAATAAATAAAATATCCAAAAACTTTTACCTCTAAATCATCTATTACATTATACACGTCACCAACGAATTCATACCGCAAGCATTACAAATACTTAGTGTCAAATATTTAAATTATTTCCATGCACGTTTACTTCAACTTAAACGTATACCAAATTCCTACAAACATAAAATTCACAAAATAACTATCATTTAATTAAAATATCACTAAACCATGTACACGTCGACTTATTTTTACTTAAAAAAACATCCCAGAATTGCACAAAAATGGCATTGCGCACACTCTTCACTATATCCATGTACACTGCTTTTTTCTCATAAATTAGAAAAATTTCACGAAAATGCATAACAATTTTCTGAATCTTTAAACCCGGTAAAAAGAACATATATGAAATTACCTGATCGCGAAAAAGTATATACCCTTTCCAAATATGAACATTTCCCCGTATAAAATAAATAAAATATCCAAAACTTTTACCTCTAATTATCTATTATATTACAAATGTCACTAACTAATTCATACCGCAAACATTACAAATGGTTACAAATACTTAGTGTCAAATATTTAAATTATTTCCATGCACGTTTACGCAAATTACTTTACTTCCACCTTACATTTAGAACAATACATAAAAATAATATCCTGAAATAATTAAAAATACTAACTTACCTATTCTTCTTCAGAATCTTGATTACGTGTCCGATAAACTTTTCTTATTTCTGTTTCAGGATCTTTAAAATCATACTTATAGTTCACAGCAAGGTACCAGGTAAAATAAATAACATAATAAAACATCTTTACTTCTATCTCGCACAACCTTAAAGAAACACTTATTACTACCCCTTTCAATCCCACTAAATACCCATTTCGAATTCACTTTAGTTAGGACCATGGGATCCAAAAATTAACGAACACTGTTTCACACAACACAGAATAAAGCCAAATGGAAAATTTCCAGATTTCCCCCCTTTTCCGATTAAAGAACCGTAATTCGTCCATTAATATCACATGACATATCCCATGATCTCTCATTTCCCTCACACAAAATAATGCGTAATCGGAACTGAGTACTGCTCACATTATTACCAAAATCCCAGGTAGTAACCTTTATCGCCTCCAAAATGTCGCCAAACTACCAGTTACCATATTCTAAAGATCAGCCAATTATTTTCATTACACACGATTCTCGAAAGTATCAGATTCTTTGGCACCGAAAGAAATGGAGAAATAGGATATTGAAACTGAGTTGACACTTAATGAAATGTTTGAGAAAGTTTCTGTATTAATGAACTGTCCTACTGTACTGTCGGAAGAATTCGTTGCAGTAGTTTATGATAATGTGTGTACAGCCTCAATTATGGCAGACACAGTTACTTTGGAGTTTGTTCAAAGCTAAAAAGATATCATTGATGCAGATTCTGATGACGAAAATAAAATGAATGCAGTTCCTGTTCCCACGTCATCCGAAATAAAGAATATCATAAAAAGTATGGACAGTTATTTAGATGCACATTCCAATGGAGAAATGAATAACAAAATGTTCGACATTGAACAATTTGATGCTAAAAAAGACAATGCAAAGAAAAATATCAGATTATTTTCCCAAAACTCAATGTTTTGTTTTTCAAATTTGAAAATTTTGTTGAATTCCATTAAGTTCTTTTGGATGTTTTTGTTTCATTGGTCTTTAATAAATACATGCATATATACATGTAAATAAAATGTACTCTAACAAGCTTAATTTTGTTGAATATATGCTTTTTTTTTTTTTCTTTTCAATATTCTTTAACACATACTGTTAATGTATACATCAGTATTCTCCTCTTTCCTCAAATATACTACGGCGATAAACAATAACCATCCACTAAAGACTTTGCGTAAATTCCCACACATAATAATTCAAATTACGAAAATCTCAGAATTAGCACCTAAACACACTATTCAGCAGCAAAATTCTTTCGAAAGCGCGCCCTAGTACTCAAAAGTGGGGTAGGCCGTCTTGCCAGGTGAAATCAGTCGATATTTACGTGACGTCAAAAATTCGAAAAGTGGAGTAGGGTTTGGAAATACGCCGCAGGGCCATGGGTTCCATAAAGCAACTAACACATTGTTGCAAGTATAAAAATCTTACACAATTTTGAAATTTTAATTTCTCATACGCTCTTTCATACTTTTGTCATCGATCAGTTTTAATTGTTATCAAAAAGGGGATAAATAGCCAATTGTGAGAAATGTTGTTACACTGCTCACGTGTCAACTATTCCGTTAAGTAGAGAGATATCTGTTAACGATGTGTTCATGCTGTCAGGAAGGAAGCCTGTTAACAAATAGACAAACTGTACATTCAAAATAAATTCCGGATAAGACCTAGTTATCACAGCTAGCTACTGCAGGAGTGAGTAAATTTTTCTTTTTTTTTAAGCTTAGTTGGGACTGTATGAATGAACTAATAAGCTTTTGAGTGTCTCTCTGAGGATGAGGCATTATGAGTCTTCATTTATTAGCTTCGTAACTCCATCAATGTATTTTTTTTTTTTTTTTTCCAAATCCATGTTTATCAGCTCTGGAACTAATAATGCTTAAATATGAATAAATTTTATATCACGTTTTTCTTTTTTTCTTTTCGCTTGAGATTTGAAATAAACGATTGCTTTTTGAAATTAATGTTGTGAGTAATTAAGTGCTGGGTTGTATCAACGCCAGCTGGAAACAACTTTATTGAACTTGATTGCATCTTTCATGCTCCTGAAATTTTACCGATCTGGTTTTACTTATCTGGAGCAGTATTTGACATCTTTTTGTTGGCAACAGCGCTTTGAAGTCGCGTTGTTAGCAAGTATTGTTTTGTATATGCAAAATGGTCGTTGTGGGGAAGTGAAGTTGCATTGATTTGAACTTATTTTTGTTTTTTTAGGTAGATTATTAAAGAATGTGAGTATATTTATTTTGCGCTTTTTACAGTCTAAAAATGTTTTTGCTTAAATGCAAAAGAAACTAATTAAAGGTAACAGTGATTACCCAAGAGTAACTTACAGCAGTATTTCTGAATTCTTTAATGTTATTATTTTAATTAATGTGATAGTGCATTATGCTCCTGCACCCCTATCCGAAAGACCGTCTGACCATGAAAAAGATGGGTAAAGTGCAGAATCGCACGCTTATTTGTTTGGCGCTTTTTACAAGATTAAGAGGAACTGGATTTTTGTCAATTTTCTTTGACTTATTAAGTGAAAATAGGTCTGCATGGATACTGTGAGGGAAGTGCACAATGCCATTTTGTGCAATTCTGGGTTGTCGATTTTCTTTGACCTTTTTAAGTGAAAATAGGTCGATGTCTGCATGGATACAGTCAGGGGAGTGCGCAATGCCATTTTTGGGATTTTTTTTAAGTAGGTGGATGTGCACATGGATACAGTGTTTGTGAAATTCTTAAAAATGCGCGGAACAGCTTTAGTATTAGTCCTTTTTGGCGACATTTTGGAGCGATAAATGAAAAATTATGATAACCTTGGTAACCTTAAATACTGAGCTTCAAACATGCCGCCATTTCTGTCCACGTAACTTTAACGAATTTGATAGGTATCAGAGCTTTGATGGCAGAAGAGATAAATTGTGTGTTTTTCTTAAAGTTACTTTTGTGTTAGGAAAGCACAACATTTAAAATATTTTTTAAAAGCCAACTTTTTGATAGTTAAAACTGGTGTTTTTAATATTACATCTTATGAGTCTTGACATTTTTTCATATGTCAACTCTGCATATTATTATAAACTCCACCACCCCCCCAAGGAAAAAAAACCACATTTTCAGTAGCATGAGGTAAACTCTTGGTGTTTCCTTTGCTAAGGAGATCAAAATTACCATGGTCTAAAAATACTTATTTACCTCATATTAGAACTAAAGGGATGTGTAATTGCATGAATTCATAGGTTCAAATCAAGACCAAAATTAGGTTTCATTATTGCTTTTATAACATTTTCATAATTTGTCTGACTATAAAAAATATAATGTTGCTTAGATTATGGAATATATTGCTTATAATTTAGAGTTCTCAAATTTTGTAAATCTTACAACCTAACAGCTGTATATGAATAACCTTCACTGAGTATTATTACTTTTATTAATAGTATGTTGACATAACAGTCGACTTTTTATTTTAAATTTTATGCAAATTTTCTACATTACTTAAACATTTTATCTAACAGAAATCTGAATTTTTTGTAATAAAAACTCTATAATAAAAGTAAGAGTACAATTTATATATAAAAATTTGACTACAAGCACTTAGATACTGATTTCAATATCTTTAAATGTTATTATCGTAAAGTTTAGATATATTTCTTATTAAGTTAAGATATACTTTTATTCTATTATAAAGTTTAGATGTACAGAACAGAAGGCACACTTTGTGCTTACGACTCAGTCAACCACTTGTGGCAAGATAACTTATGATAACAATTAAGTTCAAATGTAAAATTTAAATTCAAATAAATTTGTAGCCCAAAGGCTGCACAAATCAATTTAATGCAAAGTTGGTTAAAAACTTAACTGGCATGGAATTCAACTATCAGCAATTATAATGCAAGGCTGAAGACTACAAATCTTTTCTTATCTAGCAACCTATTAATGTGGCCTCAAAAGGCAAAACACGGTTTGTTTTACAAAATAAAAACTTCATTTGCATTCTGGTGAGAAAACGGATGGAGGAAATTGACAGTAAAGATCCCAAGCATAAAATAACTCTGGTTACAAAATAAAGGAACGTTACAATATACTTTGTTTCCTGATTAATTATTCAGTACATGAAATAGTGTAATGCATTTTTGTATTTAGTTTATTTAAATGCTTTCCAAAACTGACAGGATTTTGCAAACATATTGACCATATTTTTCAACCTATAGATGCAACACTTCTTCTCTTCAGAAGTAAGATTTAGAATTAAGAAATAAGAAAATAAGAGAGAATTATGAATAGAAAATAAATACATATGCTGGCTAGCAGAAGAAGGATGCCTTCATAAAAGTACTTTTTAAGAGAAACTGGCTCAGATTCACATTACATCTACGGAAAACTACTAAAACTCCCATATAGCCCAGCCTGAACTACCACTGTTCAGTGGCTATCACTCCACCACTAGTGGATTCCAATGACTGTTTGAATTTTTCACAGAAATCATCATTTACGATGATTGTTGTATTATTACCATTGGTACAAAATTTACTCATTATGATAATTTAATTTTAGCTTTTAAATTATAATCATAAATTACTTGTAATAAATTGAGGGATTAAAAAATACACACTTCTTAATATTTTTACCATTTACAATATTTAATCATAAAAAATATTTCTAACACTGGTACAAAACTTGCCCATTATAATTGAATTTGATTTCCTTCACTTTGAAATATTTTTTTATTTTCTTTTAATAACAGAATCTAAGAAACTAAAGTTTTAATTTAAGTTAAGAAACTAAAGTACTAGTTTGAAATGCATTTATTAACCTTTTGTAAATTTAATTATTCATAAACATAAAAATTAACCTTTTGTAAATTTAAAATATTAGCTAAGTACTAATATAATAAAATATTAGCTAAGTACTAAATAATAAAAAATATAAATATGAACTAACTACTTTAAAATATTAATGTTTAATACATTATATTTTGTAATTAAAAATATTAACATTTTGTAAATTTCATTACTCATGACATAATAATTGTCATAAATTCATTTACAGTAGTGTTTCAAGAATTTATCATAGCAGTACTAGAAATATTGACTGAAGACTAGAATATCATAGCAGTACTAGAGAAAGACTGTTTATTCTGATTAAGAGCTTATTTTTTAGGATTGTTATTTAGTCTAGATCGGGTTTTGTTGACAATCCGCCATTTTTTTCCGATCTTCCAAACCGGGTCTACCTTGGCGACCGAAGTTTGTCGCCAAATAATAAAAAAATTGCCAAAAGACCAATACTAAAGCTGTTCCAAATGCGCCAAGCAGTGTATTCTGCACTTTCCCCAAAAAGTTAATAGTAATTGGCGTAATGTGAATAAAGCCAAATCTCGGTATGGTTTCTGAAGCATTTAGTTTTTTAGCATGTTCTTTGGTAACGAGTAAGAGATTTCTTTTTTATATGAATCTGTTTTTATGGCAGTTGTTCTTAATATTTAAATTATTTCCTTAAAATTTTATCAAGTATCTCAGGATAAATCGAAGAGAACATTACCAAAAATTGGTTATAAAGACACCCCGAATGAAATAAATCAAGAGAAAGATTTATTTTTAGCAAATTAGTTGTCTTGACACTTAGGAGACGAGGCGACTGAAAAAACGGCCAGAGTTGCAAAGTCTCAAAAAGACGGCTGTGGCCGAAATATCGGCCAGAGAAATTCAGGGTGAGGAGAAAGTCATGCGATCACTTTTTCCTGCCACTTGTCCGATGACTTCGCGCCTCACAACTATGGTGTTTTGTAAATTCCCTTTCATTTTCTCTCAAAGAGCAGTGTTAGCTCGAGGCAAAAACTTTCAATTGTTTTTCACCTGATTAACTTGCTCTCTAAAATTCTACGTAAATAACCTAGCCATACTGATATGCATATACGTATGGTAGATACATATGCAAATGAGATGTGTGTCTATATGCAACAGAAACGCGAATGTATAGCATGTATGTATGCTAATTGTGTATGTGTATGCAAACAGATAAAAGCATACACATGTATGTATGTGTAACCATATATCTATGTGTATACATATATTTGAAAATCACAGATTTAAATTCAAATATTATATTAAATTCTATTTTTTTTTTGCATTCGGTATAGAAATTTTATTCAAAAATACAAAGAACCAACATGCTATAATATTCCAATTATTGATGATTTTATGGAAAGAGACTTAATTCCCCTTATAAAGTCAGGACTACGAGATCGTCAATAATTACTCTTATGTATTTTTATGTTTCTTTTGTTATAAATATTTACAAATCCAAAAAGTGGCAATAAGCAAAAGGGGGGAAATGTATTAAATTACAATTTTACAGCATTTATGAAGATTAAAAGGTTAATCCTTACGACTCTGCTTGGCGAATTTGTGGTTTTCTGACACCGTCAGCTCCAATTCCAAGATGGTGCCAATCCTTGCACCCCCTAGAGAAAATCAAACACTTTCAGAAACTCGGTGTCCATGTACATATCAACCTATTTTAACATTGAAAAAAATCAGAAAATTGCACAAACTAGGCATTGTTCACTAATTTAAAATTTATACATGTACACTCGACCTATTTTAACTTAAAACAACATCGGAGAATTGCATAAACTAGGCATTGCACACTAATTTAACTTTATCCATGTACACAACGGCCTATCTTAACTTAAACAAAATCAAAAAGCTAAAACAAAGGGTTAATCTTTACGTTATGGTAACTTTGGCGATTTTTTGGCGAAAATTTGGCGACCAACTCTCCTACAGCAACCCTCTATTTTTTTTTCCCGCCGCCATTTTGTCTTCACGAAGTAAAGACATGTTTCTTTTCTTTTTATCTACTGAACACTTCTTCCAACAATCTACTAGCCGAATTACACTTATGCTAGAAATTTTATCAAACAAAACTGCTTAATCATGACAAATATTCACTGCAAAATTGGGAAAAAGTGCACAATACCATACTCCTTACGCGTTTTTCAAAATAACACATACACATAAACCATGTACACGCCGACTTATTTTTACTTAAAAAAACATCCCAGAATTGCACAAAAATGGCATTGCGCACACTCTTCACTATATCCATGTACACTGCTTTTTTCTCATAAATTAGAAAAATTTCACGAAAATACATGACAATTTTCTCAATCTTTAAACCCGGTAAAAAGAACATATATGAAATTACCTGATCGCGAAAAGTAGTATTTACCCTTTCCAAA